TCAGTAGGAGAGGGTGTGGCTAGCAGAAGATCGTTTTTATAATAAATCTTTTGTAATATCTGCTCCATCATCACATCAGAATAGTCCGTTATTACATCACAAGCCACGCCCTTTTACCAAGTCATTGACTCCGCCTCCTCACCAGTTGCCATATATATATGTCATCTCAAGTGGGCGTGGCAGGACGTCACATGATTAAAGTACATGATGATGTATCTGATAATAGTTCTATTGATTCGTTGTTGTCTCCATCATCTCCTGTTAATAATAAACAATGGACTAACAAGAAGAATAAATCACTCATTAATTATATTAATAGAGAAGGTATGTAATGGTATGTGTGTGTTCAGGGGCGTATCTAAGGGTGGGCCTGGGTGGGCATGTGCCCGACCAACTCAGCAGAAGTAAAAAAAATTATTTTGTATATTAGTCCTTTTAAAAGTATTACTCACTTTATTATGATGAAAGCAATGAGACAAGACGAGCATAGCTAATAGTTTTAGTAGTGTAAATATGATGACAACATGGTAGAGACTTCCATAATTCCACTTGGGCATTTGAGCTGCCATTTTTTAAATAATAACTACTATTAACAAATCTGTTATTAGACTATTCACTTTAATATTAAATTAATCGAGTGAAAAATGGCTAAAAAGTGTGCTGAGTCTTTTTCAATGTCTCTCCAAGGCCAGTACTACTACAAAAGAAAATGTAAGCATTTAGCAGATGCTGAGGGTGCTTGAGCATCCCGATTAACCTGAAGAATCAACATTTCTTTCTTCTGCTTCTTTAAGCTCTGCAGTCATATTACTGCTAAGTGTCTTAAGAAAGTTATTCAACACACTTAACAATCATTTCAGCCTCAATTTCAGCATTTTCCAGTGCTTTAAAGGGCAGTAGGAAGTGCCACAGTGCCTGAATATACCGTGACAGCGCTTATAATATTCGAAAAGCTAAGCATGCGCGTAAAACAATATTTTAGCGCAGTAAAAAGGGGTGTGGTCAAAATCGCGGCACGCTTCGCGTTCCACATATTTTTTCCCAGTGCCCTACTAACTCTCACAGCTTAGACACGCCCCTGTGTGTGTGTGTATTGACAAATATTAATCTACTGATTATCAGAATAATTATTATCACGATAATCATTGATACTGTTCATTCACCTTTTAAAAGCATGTAATAATCATAATTATGACAGAAAATTAGGAAAATTGACAGGTTATTTTATAAAATAGGGTTCTTGTTGTAAAGTAATGCTTTGTGTTGTGAATAATTAATATTCAGTATTGCTGATACAATAATTAATACTATCAGTATAACAATATGTCCTCTTGATGATCAATATATTGAAAATATTGTACATCCTTATATGGTATGTGTGTGTGTATATAATTTGTCATTTCCTCTCTCTCTTTCTCCAGCTGGTCATTCTCAGGATTCTGGTGTACTGGTTGAACTGTGCGGACATATTTAAATATTTTTATCATCTCTTTTATAAACATTTTTATTAAAAATTATATTATTATTATTAATGTGCTTTTTTGTCATTTTTTTCTTTTTTTATCTGCTCCTTTTTGAGAGAAATATATTGAGAATGGGAACATGACTGACTTGCTGAAATGGAGGAAGGTCAGCTAGAGAAAAGTTATTAAAGACTGAGGGAGAGATAGAAATAAAGGAGAGGGAAATAGAAAGAAATGATGACAACAAAGAGAGAGACAGTGACATGAGTGTGTGTCAGTAAGAGAAGGAATGTACAGTATATACTGGAGAAGAAGAGAGAGAGAGAGATTGATGAGAGATCAAGAGATGTTCATGTATTAGATTTATGATAATATAATGTGTCACTGGTCCACCTTTTATCATGTAAAGTAGTGTATTCTGATTGGTTGCTTATTGGTGAAGATGAACTGACTTGGTATAATAATTGTTGTATCAAGAGATTATTAATAAGTTCACATGAAGAGTGATTAGAGCCAGGCCCACCACCTTACTCTGTCTTGTATGAGGTGATAGTTAGGATAAGTATTAATACAAGTCTCTTTGTGTCGCTCGTCTAGTGTGAGTTCTGTTATCTTCTTATTATCCATTAGTGATTGGAGGATGAGTAGTATTGACTCAGTAGACAATGAAGTATCCCTTAGATTTAGTTCAACTAGTGATGAGTTATTGAGGAGGAGGTGAGAAAGAGCCTGTCCACTAGTAGAAGTGATGAGAGGATTATTATGAAGTTCTAATGTGGTAAGTGTAGAGTTGTGTTCAAGTGCTTGACACATATTAGTAACTCCTCTATCACTAATGGAGTGGTAATTGATGACTAGTTCTTGTATTGTTTCATTATTAGTTAGAAGTATACACAAGTACTGGATGCAATCATTAGTTAATGGAGTGAACCATATATCAAGTCTCATCAGGTTTAGTGTATGCAGTTTAGTTGATGATAGTAGAGATACTGCACTATTAGTAGATGAGTCTTCGAGGTGAATCCCCTTATGATTATTATTAATTTTACTAATCACTTCATTACACTGAACTGGAGATGGAGAGGTAAGGTATACACTGTCACTGTCCCAGTTCACTCTCCCAGTGACTCCTAATATAAACCAAAGGATTATACTTATATACATGTATGTACATAATAATACACATATTCACATCATGTGTATATATAAACACACACAACTTGCATAAACAAATACAGACACAGCTAGTAGTTGTCACTGACTGACTGTATTATGTGAATGTGTGTGTTTGTTATAATGTATTAAGTATGTACAGAGTAAAATTGGAAATAAAATATAAGCAAATAAACACACAATACATGTACATATGTACATATAGGGACAGGATTCATACATAATAGTTATAACACAGTACAGAGTGCTGTATGGCCAATAACACCATGAGGAGTGGAGTCAAGACAGCCAATACAACACTCAGCGCTTTGCGCCTCATGCTGTATTTGCTGTCTTGACTCCACACCTTGTGATGTTATTGGCTATACAGCACTCTTTACTGTGCTAGCTGTAATTAATTTATGGAATATAGTGGGCGTGTCAAAGGTGTCCGCCAAATATACTCATAGACAAGTTTTCTTGACTCTTTAAGGTTGAGACAAAGCCAATACAAATATTTAAAAGCTTCTTTGCCACGTGACGTGGACTTGACTGCCCGATGATCAATATAAGAACATCTCTGGT